CGCAAGGAGGTTATTGTAATAGTCATATGACTTATCCCATCAGGTACCCAGTTTTCTGCTGGGTGAACAGTGGCATTTTGAAATAAGCTCACTTGCCGAAGGTGATACCACATGTATCACATGTGCTTCATTGTTTGTCAGGACTTGTTACCTTACGTATGCAGGAACTGCTTGCTAATATCACCTCCACAGTCACTGTATCCCGTTAACACCCATTACACGTGGAAGAAGATGCAGCTCGGCAATGACGATGCTGTATGCAGTGTACATGTATATCTGCTGTTTGTTAAGACAACTGACTAGCGATTTGTCATTTATAGTCCTGTAAAGACTTTACAAAGATGTCATCTTTCTGGGCATTGTTTGTGCTTCACACACTTTGAAGCGTTCAACTATCTTCTATTTGAGGTTACACAAAAGTTCATCCGTTTGCTTGACATGCTAACTATCTTTAAAATGCCTTGTAATAAAACATATATACACGTTTTAATATACATATTGCATATCTTGATGCAACTAATGAATACATTGTGCGTCTTGAGGTGAGGTGAGGTGAAATTGGGTTTGACGTCGTGCTTGAGACTATTTCGCTCATATGACGACGTGCATGCGTGTGTATGTGTATGTGCGGCTGCTTGTACCAGCCCAGACTGAAGCTGGTTTTATAGTGCTAGCTCACTGAGATACCACGCCGCAGTGAAGCATGAATACCCCACTCAGACACATTATACTGACTCCGAGCCGACCAGTCCTTGTTGTACCCATTAATGCTGAGCGCCAGGCAGGGACCAACAAGTACCATATTTTAACGTCTTTAGGTATGACGCGGTCGGGGATCGAACCCGCGACCTTCCGCTCTCCGGGCGGACGCTCTAATCACTACACCACGGAGGCAGTCGTGCGTCTTGAAGCCGTGAGAGGAAACATTGTATGTCTTGAAACACTTAAATAAAGAAAACTTTGTCTGACTTGACGCTGTGACAGAAAACATATCTCTTCAAGAATGAACAGAAAATGTGCCCTAAGCACTGAAAGAAAATAAACCTGTATATCTTGAAGTAGTGAAAGAAACATTGCATGTCTTGAAGCCCCAAAAGAAAACACTGTATGTTCTAAAACATTGAAAACATTCTGTCTTGAATCAGGTGACCAAAAGATCATTGTATATCTTGCAACAGTTAGGTTGTTGTTGTTGTTTAACGCCGCACTCAGCAATATTCCAGCTATATATAAAGTTAACATTGTCTATGTTGAAACCGTGACGAAAAACATTGTCTGCAAGCAGTTAAAGTATAAAATGTATGTCTTGAAGCAGTTACAAATTGTTTATGTTTTGAAACAGTAAAAGAACATGGTGTATATGTTGTTACGTGACAGCACTATTCATTGTAACAGTGTCTTAAACCAGTGAGCAGTGATGAAAACTGAAAACTTCAACCCATACTATTCATGGTCTATCCTTAACTGGATTGACTTGCGTGATAAACTTACCTTAATATCATTGACTCGTCGGTTCAGAGAACATAGTGTCTGATGAATATACATTTCCAATAAAGCATCGATCTCAGCCGGAATAATTTACACATTCCATAAGGTAGGACAAGATCCATGAAAGAATGATGTCGATTAATACCGGACAAATGAAACGAATTTGAACGCTAACTCGAAATCTATAATTTTCTTTTTATTTCCATTATATTACTTAATGATATTTTACAGTCAATATTTACATCGGTGGTGGATTTCTAATGTCGGACATGCTAAGTACATTTCAAAGTAGTTCTAGTGACCTTCACGCACTATGAAAACAGCGAACAGACACACTCATGGAAATTCAAATCATACAAAATATACAGAATATTAGCTTTTTTCTAATGCCAAACCATTTGGCGGAAAGAGACTACTTCATTCACATAGTCACAGAAATATATTCATTATGCTATATTACTTGCTGGGCTGACAAGGATTTGTAAGAAACGCTTCACTGAATCATAGCGGGAAATCTTCAGTTAGAAACTCGACGTCAGCTACCCACCCACAGCAAATGATGATATGAAAACGGAACACAGATTCATTACAAATTCAGTGTACTTGTATAATTTCCATATTCGATGGGTCTTCTCAAATAACGTTCAAACATCTTGAGAATCACTGACAGACATTGTATGGTCCAACAGTGATTCGTCAAATATTATATTTTCTAGCATTTCACCAGTAAGAGGCGAAAAGGATGAATTTAGATGTGTTGTTAATACAAATAAAAATAAGACATAAATTAGAAAAAAGGAAAGTGGCTAGAAACCACATTATATTGAGCACCTGCAATATATTACTTTGCCAACAACAAAACGACGCCACTCCGTAAACCTCTGCCAAAACAAAACATCACTCACTAAAACAAAAGGGTTATAATACAAACGACGAAATGAAATCAAGAATCAAAACTAGAATATTATATGATGAATAAAATTATCTCCAAAATGTTGTGCGTTACGCCTGAGAGCTAATAACCACTCAATATTAAAACACAAAAAATAGACATCTTTATTAATGACTATAAAATGACTAGCGGCAATTATATGTCTAAGACGACTTAGCAAAACACTGATCAAATTTCATCTTAAACAGTGAAGAGAGAACCACACAATGTATGAAGATGCAGAGATGTATGTATCTGCCCTTTCTTGTACCGACCTTTTTCTAGACGGAACAGAATATAGTGGTGAGGATAATGGCTTCATAAACATTTGAGCAGGTAAACAAGGGAGAAACGTGAATTCTAACACCACAGGCTATGTACATATAAACAGTAACAACACGCTTAACAACACATGCAACAACCTCCCTGATTTTGTACATTTCATTTCGGTGTGATCAATATCAAACACAACACAGTTGCCATCCGTTTTGAACATTTTGTAATGTAATAGTTTATGACAACGCGAACATGAATTCGAAGTCATCAAAAAAGTGCTTAATAAATAGGTCTGACATGAAATGAATGAATACACTGGGCAACGTTACTGACTATGATAGCACACGTTAATTGGACAGCTATGGCGGAGTAGTATGTAGAAACGTCTAACAAAACTGGAAAGGGAGTTCTGACCTATGCTGTGGTATGTTAATGTTGTACAGAACATGTGTGACATATGAAAAAGAATGTTTCATTACGCCCGTACGAGATCCACATTTCATGATCATTCGGAATACTGTACATGAATGGTAGGTATTGTGTGCATCTCGCTCAATATAAAACACCTTTTCGACATGTTCGATGTTAGTCGAAATAAATTCTTGATTTTATTTTAAATAGGTGGGGTATCAAACACTTGATGCTATTTTACACGTGAAATAGGATATGATAAATTCATCCCCTTTCAATTTCATCGGGAACATGTACGCAATATACGAGGTCGTGCTATGGCAAGAGGAGTTTGTCATCTCACACTATATAAGTTCTTAAAGAGTAACGATGATATTTCTCAATGTGTTTTGTACATGAAGGCACAAGTTTGGATCATCCTCTGGTCTCATTCATTGTCAGTATCAGCCCTTTTTAAAACACTCATCCTGAGCAATGCACACTTAAGCAGCTGTCAGTATCACAAGTTGACATCTTGTCAGATGGTCAAGTTCTTCTCTTCTTCTTTTGCCAATATACAACAGTTTCAGCATTGCGACATCATTGGTCGATATGTAAGAAATCTCATTATATTCAAATGTCTGGGGACTGGTTCGTTCACCTTCACAGCTTAAAGGATATATGAACATAATAAAAAATGTATCAACACATTGCGCATTTACTGAGCACTGCAAATACATTCACACTGATCAAATGCTCCTCTTCATGACGAATTTACCACACTTATTCGCTTAACATTAAAATAATTTTTCACAAAACTGGGAAGACATTAATCATAGGTACTGAAATTTAATGATGATGAATATTTCTGAAAGCTATAAAGATCCATTTGAAGAAGCTACAATGTGCATTATCAATACCGAGGACAAGCTAAGATCCCTGCAAAATGAATTACTTGAAATATACCCGGGTTTCCAATGTCTTAAAAATGATACATTAGTAGTGGGAATGGAATGAGATATTTCGGCTATTCTGTCTTTATCGATCACAACAATGGCAAGGGACCATTGCTCTGTACATTTACTAATTTGTGTCTTGGCAAATGAACCTGTATAAATCGCTAAAACATAAACTGACAGTGAATGCACAATTACACTTCTCAAACACAACGTGAGGGTTTTATATTGAATCAAATGAAGTAAACATCAACTCTAAATATTGCTTTCTATTTTTGGGTGGCGGTAAAAATTCCATAAAACACCAAATGATACCGTAGAACAACTTTACAAATATCACAATAGCATCATCTGATCTTTGTAGGTAAGCAGTGTAGAGTCGAAGCAAGTATCTCATTTATACAAGACCATACTCATCTGAGGTGCATTCGTTTAAATTCAAAATGCAATCCAAGCATTATATACCTGTACAGATACATTGAAAGCTGTAAAATCACAATAGAATATAGTAACTGCTTGTTTCTTACACTTAGGGTATATCGGCGTTGGAGGAATTAACGTTTATAACAGGCAAACTCGTGCTGCGTTATCCTGGGTAAATAACGTTTTCAGTTCTTATGGAAATACAAAATGACTAAATTGCAAATATACTTCCCATCAAAAGTTTAGACTCACTTAAAACACTCACTGTATGTTATGTATATATATATATGGTTGCGTCGAAAATTGATTTCTCCACTAACTTGGGGGAACCAACTACAAGCCTTATGCAGATGAATTGCACAAGGATCATGCATCAAATTGCTAAACATACGTGTGCAAATATCGTGTACGTGAACAGTTGCGTTTTGGTGCAAAGTTTTGTTAAGAATTCGCCAATGTTTTACCATTTTCTGAACTCATGACAATAATCTTTACAACGTTACGAATTTGTTTTACAATACAACAGAACCTTTTAACAGTATGGAATATTTTGCAAAATTTAGTTAGAACAGTTGCCTGAAGTAAGTGGCTATATTTACACTAGTGAGTCTAAACGTTTGATGGGAAGCATATAATTAAAACAGCAAAACCATGTTACGTGATGGTGTTTGTTGCAATTATTGCAACCTTCCTGTGATATTTTACTGTGTAAATACTAAATATGATGATATATTGTGTTCCTTTGGGAATGCAGAATCAGACGTATCTGAACAGAATGAGATAGCTTTTCCACTGATAATTCTGATGGTTTGTAGGTAACAGTATGGAATCGGTAATATAGTGGTTGGGTAAAGAACAAACCCATCATGGCACATTTACCTACAGGGAACATATCTATTTGGGTGCATGTTACATGTTACAATTGGGACGTTTCACATAAATGCCTCTTTGTGTTGAAAGGGAAACGGTTTGGGCATTTTCAGGTGTAAATGGAATTAATGATGTCCTGTCCTTTGTTTGTGATTGTCACACGAATTTGCATGCTCTCGCCTCTTTATAGAAATTAGCACCTGTTCCAACAAACCATCGGACCAGCCACACCCTTCCCTGGCATTGTCCCTAACGAATAATCTCAAAACAATTCCGCTGGCTGACACATACGACGCCCATTCATCCTTGTCAATCACACTTGAGGCCAGCCACTGGCCTGTGTCTTTTGACACGTGTCCAGTCAATTGCTTTATGTTCTTATATCTACACGATCACTAAACTATAGTAATGGCATTGTTCGAGTCATTCATATCCCTCGAATTTGGTTTATTTATCTTTTTATAAATGTGACCATCATTTTCAGACCTTTGCAGGTGGTCTGGAGTCTTTCCTTTGCCGAAGGTGTTCATTGGTATTGGGTGTCCATGAGGCATGGCATTGCGGTGCATAGGTGATGTCGACTGTGTGGGGATGGCTGTGTACGTGTAGCCCGACCCTGGGGGCGGTGGTGGTTTGGATGCTATTGCTGTTTTCTGGTTATTCTGTGGGCTTGGTTGTGGATGAGCATTTTTGGCAGGAGATTGATGATTAGAAGGATTTGACATGAGACTTACAGTCTCAGGACCCGTGGCGTTTCGCACTGTCTTTTCTAATTTCCGGGCCAGTTTTACTTCCTCCTGTTCTTCCTCTTCTTGCTCTTGCTGCCTTTTTAACTTTTTTATTCGTTCCCTTTGATAAAACACTCCAGCAAATATCAGAATGTTAAGAAACAAAAGTGAACATCCAACTGCAACGGTAATGCTTAAAGGGACGGAGCTGTGAGAAGGATCTGGCTGTCCAGCTGTGGCAGGAACAGCAGTAACGCCATCTGGAGTGCTGTGGAGCACTGTGGCGGATTCAGTGGAACCATGACGCACTCTTGTGTGAATGTTATCTGGATCCTCATCTGTATATCCGTTGTAGTAACTTGTAGTTGACCAGGTGCCATCGTTGGGCGGTCCCCAGGTTGGCGAGATCGGCGGCATCGGTGGTGGAGATGGGAACACCTTATTGAATGGTGGGACCAAACGCGGGAATTCGTCAAAAGTAGACATGTTGTTGGAGTCCTCCAGAAGGTGTTGAGTTGGATCTGTGCCGCTTTTGTTGGTTTGCTGATATTTGGTATGAGATCAAGCCATAGGGCTAACTTCTGAGCTCGATAGTGATGCCGAACTGTTGGCCGACGCGCTGGAACAAATGGCATACAGTCAAGGGGGATACAAAGCAAGCTTGGTTCTAGTATCACGCATGTTAGGGAACTAGTGGACTAACTTCTACATCACGTCAACCAACGCTATTCACTCAAAACCGCTCGAAAGTGGAGAGAAGTCACTTTGGGAACACTATCCGAAAGCAGAACTAGGAAGAGAAACACGGCAAACAGACAATCCTAAAACAGATATCTCAGATAATTAAACAGGGCTCCTGGCATAAACTTTGAACATTAACTTGCACAATTGTTTTTAATTAATGGAAAGATGGCATCTTAGAAAATGGATACGGGAGGGTATGCTTACAGTTTTCATTTGATGTTTTTTTTCCATTACGTCAACATTTTGTCAAGAAACACATTAGTCCATTAACACACTGGTTAAGTTGACAGTACGTTGACGCACGCCTTTCTTTTACAATACATCAGTGAAAGCAGTTTCACATATTGATTACATTTCGGTTCTATCCAGTACACTAGTTATGATCTCTTTCAAACTTACATTATCAATAAACTGAGGCGGTTTTGAAGAATATATCGGAACAATTGTAGGTCACGCTGATCACTCAAGGCAAGTTTTGTGTTTGTGTGTGCGTGTAAATTCCAATTCCTGACATATCAGTGGTATATCAAAACTGTTTTCTACTTCACATTTAGCGACAGAACGGGTTGACACCAATTTGACAATCTTACAGTGACACAAACATATTCAGAGAGATGCGGGAATCTAAACGCAAATCACGTCTGGATTGCTGATGAGACGTAACTTTGCACAGATGACGGCGCCTTAGAACACCGAATACATTTGCCTCAATCACGCCTACCAGTCAGAGATACCTTAGTTGTATAAAACTAGGATGCATAGGAATTCTGAGAACTCATATCACCTTAGAATGTTGCCACCACTGCTTTATATTTCTTTGAAAAAATGGTACCGCAAGAATATGACGAATGGGTGTCAATCATGTTTGAGATTTCTGGATTGATTGTTTGACCTGCACCTACACGGATATCATCTTAAAGCGGATAGTCATAGATACTGATACTGACTGAAGGCAGTTTGTCCTTATTTCGACAAAGTTGAACTGAGACACTATTGTAGTTATTTGTTCTATGTTGAGTTGGATTAACACCGCTTTGAACAGCGTTCCAGTCACATCACGGTGTGTGAGAGGGAATCCAACAGTGATGCAGGTATTCCTATTTATTAAACCTTACTTTAGCAAAAGACCAAACTCTGTTAACATTGTTAAATTGTTTCAAAATGAAAAAGTTGGTCAACTACGAAAACTTTGTATTTTTTGTAACACTGTCATGTTCAGGTAAAAGTCACTAGGAAAGTGAATTATAAAAGTTAGGTGAAAATTTAGATGAAAGTTCTCTGTGTAAAAGGAAGTACTATGTACTGCTATTTATTATGAGGACGTTATATGTCTTATATGTCTACCAGCCCTGTTTACACCAAAATTTATATCATCATTGTGATCTTCATATGCCGTTGTCTTACGGCTTGAAAAGCAATGAAGTTCTGTTCTGTTCCACGTTTACCGCCTTGGTGATACCCACGAACAAGGATATGTGTTGATAGATCTGGACACATAATTGACTCGAACCTTTTTCGATCCAACGATCATAGACTGCAGGCGTACCCGCGGGACGCAACTTTCAAAACGAATTGTGGTGCCTTAGACGACTCGACCGTCCAAACTCTCCTGTATCATATGAATCTCTTTAGCAGGCCCCAGAACATTTAGTTAGGAAACATTCAACCCTATTCAACTCCCATCCCTTCTCATGTCCCGCAGCCTGTACACATCCTCTCCCACTCTCTGAACTATGTGACCATGTATTTTTATAGCCAAATGGTTCCTAGTGAATGATTTTTATTGACCTTATACATCGTTGTACTTCAGAGACACGTATTTCGTATTTACCTTCATCATCATTAGGTTGACAGATGGTGATAAATTAATGTTATTGTTATTGCAACATTCTCAAACTCGGAAATGCTAAACAAGGTCTTGAACAATCGGTAAATGAAACAGAAAATGTACCTCGGGAAAATCGGAACAAATTTAATCAGCTTTACGCTCGTAATTCTGAAAAACACAATGACAAGATTTACCCGAGAAACATTTCCAATGAGTTATAGTTAAAGGGCAGATCGATTGCTTGTTAATATCTTCTCATCACCGTTATTAATGTGTCTAATAACAAATATTATGGCAACGGTGGTAATAACTGACTTCGACTGTGAAAGATTGTGCCTGAACTAAGACATTACCAGGATGGTAGTAGATAAACTCACAAACGCTCACTGTCATACTTCAACACGAATATATAAACTCATCAGATACAATAATTTCAAACTATATGCTTAGAATAGATTGAATTAGAGACAAGGAAATAATTAATCAATATGTCTGTCAGCTGAACTATATAAATATATAAGGAACATTTAATTGACATAATAGATGTTATTGCGATCTGATATATACCGTTACATTACCACATGTTCAGTTATTTTACACGTGAATAGATTCCATTTTATTTGTTCTTTGAGAAAACTAAAACAGAAATGCAATCCTACTACAAACGAGCATGACCATGTCGCTAATGCGTGTGCAAATTGTATATGTCTAATGAAATGCATATGAATTTATTTCCAGAAAACGTAACAAATAATAACATTGAAAAACAGCTTCACAATCGGTCATTGTGACAGCGTATTTTTACTGATTTGTTTAGTTTCTGATGATGAGCTAAATTATGATATATAGATGATACAAGCCTGTAGAGAATTTATCTTGTGTTCATGAAGGAAAATCCTTAAATAATCACATTTGATAATTCAAAAGCCTTGAAAATACCCTACAATTTCACTACACCTCTCTAAGAGGGACACACAATCGTACTTACTTGTGAAGGTGCTACAGTGACAGAAACATTTCATCCAAAGGGAGATGGGAATACCTTAATGACAGATACACTGATCTTAAAGAACTGTTCACACAATTCAAATCCTCCCCATGCAAAACAGGGCCTATGCGAAACCCATGCGTAATCGATTAGTACAACTGGGTCCAATACTATGTTAAGATCAATCAAAATAGACTTTAATTATGCTAACCCTGGTCGCTTCCTTCGTTAATGTCGAACCCACCTATTTGGAGGTAATTTTGATCACCAAGCTCAAATTTTGGCCAATCGATGTTTACGAAACGGTTACGTACACGACCGCCGTGAACGGATGTCTGGTTGCGAGGCTCATTGGGGTTGCTGAAACATAAAATAGATATAATTACAAGTGAGTTATACATCATGACGAGACATATATACATCTGCTGGACAAGAAGGGGGACTCACTTCATAAAAAAATCAAGAGATGTCAAAATGGCAAATTTACGGTGACTCTAGCACACCTTCATGATTTTTGCCATTTAGTGGACATTCTTAAAGGAACACAACAATATGTTTGTATAAAGATGTGTGTACTTTACTACGAAAGGCACGCAATGAGTACATGTCAGTCTGGAGGCACGTACAGTGCTAGAGTTTGACAATCTAGGCTTCTAAATCTAGGTTTCTATAATTATGCCGTTGTAGTTATCATTGTGTGTATCACGGTCAAGCCCTGCTTGGCTGCATTGATTTTTCCATCACAGGGGATAAATATTTCAATGTCAAAACAGTTAAGAACCTTTTTACTAATGTTAATCATCATTAAATCATTGACTTTTAAAAGAAATAGAGTTGTTAGATAAATTTTGATTACAGCTATGTAAATAGATAAATGTTTTATGATGAGTACTCTAAACTAACAACTGATATTGTTAGTGGCTGTATCCTCGAAGGGTTTAAGTACTGTAAAATTATTATCCTTCTGTGAGGGTACGTAAGTCCCAAAACAATTATAGTAAATTAAACGTACTACTTTTTTAATTGTAGCATATGTGTTATTTTAATTTATGGATAGATTGTCAAAAATTACCAACATCTGAAGGGCTGGTGTAAAGCCAGATGGGGGCCATGCTGGAAGCAAATGTACTGTAAATCCCCATGGTCCCTAGTATGGTGATCAACTTCAGTTGTTGGCAATCTATAGCCTGTTCTTAAGTTGTATTGTCATTTATAGTTAAATGTAGGTTAGATTTAATTACTAGTTTTGAATTTATATCTGTGATAGTCTAGTTGTTTTATTGTCCTTCGTTGACAGGTGTGATTCAGTCACGATATGGCTGAAATATCGCCGATGTGACTTAAATTCTTAACTCACTCACTCTCATTGTGTGTTGCACGAGTTGATGTGTATGATCATATCCAAACAAACACTACATTACAAGATTATTTGCAAACAACATCCCTCCTCCTAAAGACATTTATAGATGAATAGAAAAATTAAAAAGAAAATAAAGAAAAGAAACTAGTAAAGTATAATATACTGAACAGCAAAAGAAACGCAAGTCTGGCTTTTTATCAAGTTTTGAATAGAAGACAACCACAATTATGTCTAATCATTTATTCTATAGAAAACACTGTCAATTTAACAGCTAAAAGTTGTTGTAGACATCGAATTGCAATAAGTTCAAATTGATCACAGTCCGTCAAATGGAGATACCCCTGAACGCCAAAAGTGACAAGTCTCTTTAGTAGCGCGTATAGCCACCTTGAGCTTGCACACAGGCCGTGCAACGTGGCTTATTGTTGCTGCTGGAGTTCGGTTCCTTAGATGAGTGACCCGGATGAACCGATCTTGTGCATGAGTTGTCACTCGTTGCCGTCCGGTACGGGGACGATCAGCAGCAACCCCGGTTTGGGCAAGTCGTGTAATGGAAGTAAGATGACAGCCCAATTGTCTAGCTACAGCGGTTTGTGAACTACCTCCGTGCAACTTTCCAATGGCCATTCCCCCTCTGCTCAGTCGTTAGTCTAGGCATCGTTTGTGTGGCGCGTACACCTCCTAGCGTCAGTACTGAACAGTTTTTAGACACAAACCATTATAAAGGATACCTCAGAGTGAAATGCATGCTTTTCATACAGAACCGCCGATGCACGTGCTAAAATTATGGTTTTGCTGCACTGCTGGTGTGTTGGTGCGAATGTTTCGTATGGACGTCAAATTGCATGACATCATCTCATCTAGGATCATTACGTCACTTTACCATGGACGTTCCATAAACATGAACGCTTACCTTCATGAGGTTTCATTTTTTTCGAAACTTGCATTTCTTTTGCTGGTTAGTATATATTACTGGGCGTGTACAGTTCAATAGACTTCCATTTTGTTTGTGTATTGTGTATTGCATATCGTTATTATTTGGTATATTTAATACAAGTAATAAGTTATATTTTTGCAATTCACATTCATATATATAGTCCTATCTATGGATGGAGCACGTAGCATAATCGAAATAGCATAGGTCCTCACAGTAATGGTGAAGTTTATGTTGATAATGTGAACACAACCACACACAATTCGCTTAAAACGACAACGTCCATGGGCTAGAAAACAAAAGACCTTCGTTCCAAACACTTTCCATGTTAATTTCGCTCAACCATACTTTTAATCGTAGTAGTTTTGTGATTTTAATTTCGTCTAAATCTTCCTACCATCGCCAGCGGCTGAAGGGATGGTGTAAATCCAGCTAGGGTCCATGCAGGTAGCAGAATTAAAATCTTTTAGTTTTACATGCTAGTTTTAGGTTCATATCTGTGATACTCTAGTATTTTTACTGTCCATCGTTTTCGTCACGATATGGCTGAGATATTGCCGAAGTGACGTTAAATATTAACTCACTCACTCACAAAAGACATTCTGTGAAAAGTGAAGGCCCTGGACGTTAATCACAGAACAGGAAATGACATAGAAATTCAAGACAGCAAGAGAACAAAGGAAAAAGAACAAAAGTTGACTCCCTTATATATTTAAGGTTTGCAGAAGTATACGAGCAATGTTTTTCGAAGTTCTAACTGATTTTTTTTAAGATCCTGTGTGTATCACCTCTGTAACTGCAAAATAGAAACTTGCAATTTGACGTCTTTCAAGGGATTCATCTGTGTACCCCGCCTGTCCGAAAAACAGGCTTCAGAAACAATTATACAACAGGACAATAAAGGGAAGAACTTTTGAAAGGTTTCGATCTTCACAGCCCCGTTCAAAAACATAAATCTACTCTGAAAACTGACGAGAGATAATTACGCAGACTCATTTCCCGATCAGAGAGGAATATCGAACACATAATAATGGTTCTCAACGCAGGAGAAAAAATGATATAAATCAAACTGTTTCTGTGCATTAGCCGTTATCCCTATCCGAAATGTCAGACTGAAGGACACGGTACAGACATTGTCGAGTCAAGCCAGGAGGCAGCGTATTTGTCAATGATATTATGTATTATGTTTACAGCATTAACAGCCACACTGCTGGCTTCAGGGACCTTTGGCACGGCTAGGTTAGACATATCCGTGCAAGGGTTACGGCAACCAATCAATCGGGTGCAAAGAGGGTTAACATAAGGCGTGTGTGATCACAAATGTGGAAGGTCAACAAATGGTCGAAAAGACACCGATGTGAATATTCCAATTAGCCTGTTTTGAAAGCATTTACTAAGAAACTTGCATGCATATGTACCATCCACTAGAAGTCAAAGAACACCCGCGGTTTCATATGGCTGTTGTTTATTCTCTTACAGTCGGTGGCCATTGCAGCACCTTTCACTTGTGTATGTTCGTGAACTGGTTTCGAGTGATATGTAGTGCCTAATAAACTGGACAGATGTGCCCCTTCCATCTGAAACAGGGTTGACAAGAGTCATCAAGAGATCACAAATCCCCCCGTCTCCCACATATTTGATAGAGGTAGTAATCAAGACCTACAAGAGTCATATGTCCAACTTCATGGAAGTATATCTATCAATCTGCCTGTGTACAGGTTATTGAGCTATTGGAAAAATGGAATAGGGATAAGGAACTTTGATCTGTATGTCACGTTAAGATGATCACGTACATGTCAGAAATGGTGGATGCCCTATGACATAGTATGTTACGAAGCTCGTCTTTCACCTGAAACATGGAATCCTATATTTGCAGGTTATATGAAAATAAATGTTTTCACAAAACACTTCCTTTATGTTCCTTAGGTTACCTTTAACTGGTGAATAACCATCCAGACAGTCTTGTGGGCAGACCAAAAGTCTGTAGAGTGTCAGTTTGGAAGGTATGCTGACGCAGAGGTAGATATTGTCTATGAGTGTTCTCATATCTGAAGTTTGTTTTGTGAGATATTGACGGTGATAAGTTGAAGAAATGCTGGTAGTTTTGGAGAAAAGACCAACAACACATCTCTATCAACTGAGTCAAAGTCAATCTTGTTGCCATGGTAACAGGAAATTGTGTTGTTTTTTTCTAAAAATCCCCAAACATCAAAACGCACCATTTGACAACTTGATCAACCTGTGTGCAAAGTATGTGAATGAGTACATATTAGTTTTAATAGGATCTGAACAAGGACACTACTATTAACAGAGTCAAAGTCAAACATTTTGCCATGGGAACGGGAAAATCTACAAATCCCTTACCAGCAAAAAGCACTTCCTGACAACCTGTACCGTCTGTGTGCAAGGTTTCGTGGATGAGTTCATGTTTGTTTCAGAGATATGTTCCGGACAAGAAAGTATTACAGACGGACGGACAGACTGATTGCTATATCCTCTCGTATAGTGATACGGCGGGTGGGATATAATAAGCAGGTATATGACATATTGGCTTGGGAACAAATAAGGTCTAGAATGATACAAACTTAAAACAGACCTAGCATGAATTAAGGTCAAAGTAAAGGTGCGGCGTATGTATACAGAGTCGTCCATTCCAGCAACTGCATCTCAACACAATCAGGGACCGGGAGATAAAATAGATCTCTTAAATCCTGTAAGACAGCTAACCTAGTTCCATTCGGGAGTGAAATCGTCGGATAACTACCTTCTACAAGAAAAGGACGATTACAGTCTGTGCAGTTTGTAGTCACTTAACGCTGTAGCTATGTATCTATTAGGATAAAGCAGAACTGGGCCAGTTAACTTCCATCACAAAGTCTGTTCTGTAATCGATACCCGTAGTCCACAGTCAGATGCCATTCTAATGTATATTGATTATTGCTGATGATGGCAAGGAATGAGTCTTTACAAATGAAATACTAAAGGATGCTTTTATCTTATTGTGATAAATATGATTGTCAACAGAGGTAGCAACATATAATGTTCCAGCTAATCATGATTAGGAAG